AGGGGAAGAGGCACAGGAGAGAGTGGTGAGTTGTAGTATGTACCTTAGCCTGTGAGTCAGTGAACAAAGGCCCTGCAATATTAGCATTTTGGGAGGTAAACTGCAGGGCAGAGAAATACAGTAGGGGTGGGAAAACATCAAGGGAGGCAAGCATCACTGTGTCAGCAAGGTAGTCACCTTGTCATTCAGCTGTTGAGAGCACAAATTCAAGAAAAACAGGTTTTGCATTTCACTGACTACAGGGTAAAAAAAAAAAGTTGACCCAAGGGGTGGAAATAAGTAACTGGAAATAATTCATGGGAATACATATATCAACCTAGGACCTCTGAGGAGACAATATACATCCAAGCACCTAGCCCACAATGCCTGGGAAACAGCAGGTTCCCAGTGGCCATGGTAATGGGGGAAGGCTGTGTGAGTGCATGTGCATATCACACATGTGCAAATGTGAACCAGGTGTGAGAAGGACAAGGCAGTAATATCCTAGCGGCGCACAGCAGAAAGTCAACAAATATTAGCTTCCATCCTTACCATCAGTCTAATCACACCAAATTATAACCATGGTCCCATCACAGAGATTTAGGTTAATACAATGATTTATAAAGTTTCAAGTGTAATGGGAGGCTAATATGTTAAATAGTACCATGACAGAAAATAAGTGAAAGTACAATTGACCCTTGAACATCGCGGGGGTTAGAGGAGCTGAGCCCCCCAAGCATAAAACTTTTTACTCCTCCAAAACTTAACTACTAATCGTCTACTGTTGACCAATAACATGAACAATTAACACAATTTTTTATGTTATATGTATTAATACTGTTCTTACAATAAACTAAGCTAGAGAAAAGAAAATGTTATTACAAAAATCATGAGAAAATACATATAGAGTATTTACTGAAAAAAAAATCCATGTATAAGTGAACCCACACCACTCAAACCCATGTTGTTCAAGAGTCAACTATATCAGGATTAAATGTTTTCTTTGAAAGACTATAATCACAATTTCTCCTTCATTTTAAGATTTTAAAAAAACTTACATATAATCTTTTTCATCTGTATGCATCCACTCTCTCAGAAAGCCACACCCATAATTATAATAAAGGGGAACAGAGTTGTACAAAAGGAGAAAGCAAAGGCAGAAATCTGGAGGTAGGGCTCATTCTCCAAGGCCAAGCAACATGGACATAAGATAATAAAGGGACCTACTTTGGTGGTGATCCTATACGTGATATAGGTCTCCATTGTACAGACGTGCTTCTTGGGATCATCCACCGTGACAAAGAGGTCTCTGGTCTCACCATCGATGTCATCATCAAGCTGGAGTCTGTTGAGAAGGGAGGATGACGAGGCTGGACTCGAAGTGCCTGCTGGAGTACCACCGTTGGGCAAAATGAGATCCTGAAAAGAGAAAACAGCCGCTGTTCAAATTAAATGAAAACATACCTCTGGAGAATATCGTCAAAAGTAGCTAGTTTGCCAAACCAAGAAACACCTCCAAATACAAAATAACTTCCAAAGAATCTGAGCCTCTCTTTACATAACATTTCTTAAGTGAACAGGTCTTTTATGACCAACAGAAACAAGCCATGACAGAGCACTACACCAAATTCACACAGATTCATCTTCCAGCAAAGATCAGAGGAACCAACAGAAGCAAATAATTCAGAGACAGAGAATATAAAGCCCCCACTATCGTCATACCTCAACAGGGAGAGAGCTCAGTGAGCTTACCACATACTCTTTCCCACCTTCTCAAGACCACCACGTGGCCCAGGTAAACATTAAGGGACCTGAACCCTCTAAAATTCTTAACATTTAAAAAAATCAACCAACACAAAGAGACAACTAAACATCTTGTGCCTCCTGAAAGAAGTTCATTCACAAAACTCCTTGCAAAGTATGCTTGCCAAAAAACTGAATCTGAGTCCTGAACAAATCTCTGTACACAACAAAAATTTACAGGAAATACAAAGGAGTGAGGGAGATATTAAACAATATTATGAAGATGCAATGAGCAAAATCGGTACTGTGTGACACTAAAGAGAACTAAAGACCCAGTTTCTTCAATAAATAAATTGCAAGGGAAAAAAAAGAGACAGAGATAGGAGCACCTAGAGATGTAAAGAAACTTAAGAGAACCACAAACAATTGCAATGGAACCTGATTAAAGTAAAATGTTCAAAGATTTTGAGATACTCAGGAAAATTCGAATACTGGTTAGTTATTTGATGATATTAAGAAATTATTAGGGGCCTTGGCCGGGTAGCTCAGTTGGTTAGAGCATCATCCCAATACGCCGAGGTTGCGGGTTCGATCCCTGGTCAGGGAACATACAAGAACCAACCAATGAATGCATGAGTAAGTGGAACAACAAATCCCTCTCTATCTAGCTCTCTCTCTCTCTCTCTCTCTCTCAAATCAAAACATTAAAAAATAAAAATAAAAAATTATTAGGTGTGATAACAGAAATATTAAGATTTTACAACGTCTTCATCTTTTAGAAATACATACAAAAATATTCACGGATGACATGGTAGGACGCCTGGTATTTGCTTCAGAATAGCCAAGGATGGGCAGGTGGGGATATAGGTGATATAAAACGCCCCAAAGCTGATCATTGTTGAAGCTGGTATGTGCAGGTTCGTTATACAATTCTCTTTTTTGTATATGTTTAAAATATTCCACAATGAAAAAAAAAATTAGGAGAGGTGGAATGGGGGCAGTGGGAAAATGCCAGGGAAAAAAAGGGAAAGATTTTTTAAATTATGGACTTCTTTCTCTTTAGGCCCTACTAGGAAATCGTCTGAATAAATTAAGTCCCTTACAGTTACCTCTTTTGGTTTTGAAAACAGAACAAAGCCCCATCTAGAGGTGAAAACCTCTGCATGTAACCTTGGAATCATTGAAGGGCAAACACTAAGGAATATGGCAAGAAAGTGATGTAACACCATGGAAAGGTCCTTGATCAGGAATGCAGAAAACACTCCTGACCCGTGGGCTCCCAGATTCCAGAGAGGGGTGGAGTTGTCATCCCCTGAAATCTCTGCTCCTGCATGCAGGCTGGATATGACTGAGACCTCGGATTAGAGAACATACAGGAAATTTGAGGTCATCCTAGTGGTCCTATTCATGAGCTCCAGCTAATCATGGGACAAGGCAGAGGGAAGCAAGGCCTGAGGTCAAGGGCAATGTCACCAACTCAGATGTTTTCATCACATACTTTTTATGCAACATCAAAAATACTTTTGTAGCTGCCCAAAGGGTACCATTTTCACAGAAGGTGCTCGTGAGAATGGACCCCACCTCCACTTCTCAGCGGGGACAGCAAACCCCTCAGCAGCTGCTCTTGGCATGGACGTGACTGGGAGCCCAGCTATAGCAGGAACCAGCTGATTCTGACTGCTTTCTCAGCATGCTGACACCACAGAGCTTGCAGTGTCTGGGGATCTGAGGGAGACATCGTCTCTGAAGCCCGAGATAACCATCGTGTTTTTATCATTTCAATGAATATTTAAACAGGCACCATGCTTGGCATTGCAGGGGCCCACCCTTACATTTCATCAACACTAGCACACTGGGCCCCAGAATGGCTCTACCGATGGCTAAATATTGCACAAAAAGAAGAATGGATTCAAAATCTTTAGTCAGATGAGCCAGCAGCAGCTTCCACAGCAGTCTGGCCTATACTGATCTTAGCAGCCTCATTTCTCATGGCACCAGTTCCTGGAATCCACCTTGCTGTTTCATACCCCCGATCTTTGCTCGCAAAGCCCCCTCCTCTTTTTTATGTACAGGTCTCCAGGTATCTCACAGGAATCTGCTCAAATTCCCCTTCCCCTTGGAATCCTTCCTTGATCCACTCCCTCCTCAAAACTTTGAAGATACTTCCACTGAAGCAATTGTACAGTTTTAATCACACATATAACATCCATAACACTGTGAGTCCCCTACAACTGTAATTGTGCCTTGTTTACCTGTGGGGGGTGTGGTGTGTGCGTGTGTGTGTGTGTGTGTGTGTGTGTGGTGTGTGTGTGTGTGTGTGTGTGTGTGTGTGTGTGTGTGTAACTGTTTGCAGGTCTCCCATGACTCCCAGCCAACTTCCTTAACCTTTGCTATGGGGACTTCAGCCAATAACCTTCCAGGAACAGCCCACACAAAGTCTGAAATGTCTTGGCCAGACAGTGGGACGTTAACTATTTCTCAAATCACTAGTGGGGTGAGGGAGGGGGGAGTCAGTCAGCCGGATCTTGTGGCACACTGCACATTCTTTCCTTTGGGACTATGTGACCAGGGAAAACACTCACACTCTTACCAAAGGTGTTTCACAGACAATTATTTGAACACATACAAATAGCCACCAAGCTAGAAGCATCTGTAATTTCCTGAAAAGGGGTGCTACCAGCTCAGACCTCCATGCCACCTCTGGACACAGTGCTCCCACATTCTTATTTCACTGCACCCATATCGGCCTCATGAGGTTAGCAGGACAGACCTGGTCTCTACTGATGAGGAAGTAGATCCAAAAAGATTAAGTATCGTGTTCAAATGTGTCAACACTAGTCATTGCTATGCTAAGAGCTGAGCCAGGTTTCTGGTTCAAGGTTCTTATCAAACTGAATCCCCTTTGTGGCTTTTCCCAATCCAACGCTGCCCCTCATCTCCACTCTCTGGCCATAAATCCTTTTGGGTAAACATGAGGCTTCTGTTTTTAAAGGGAGTCAAGAAAAGCTAACATTTGCCTTACAGTCTTAATACAAATTATTCCCCAAATGACTCTCCTCAAGATATGGTCCTTGTGTGGAGAGAAAATATGAAAATCTTAGGAGGAAAGGGCTCTGGTTAGGTGGACAGAATGACCCAGGCTCCCCTGCCCTCAGGGTCCTCCAGCTGAGGATTTGCTGCGCTGAGAGACCTGAGTCCAGGGCAGGTATCGTGGGACAGCAGCACCTTTATGACTGGCGTGAAGTATAGAATTTGAGAAGTGAGAGATCCCCTTGGCTCAGCACAAAAGCCTCCTGGGTTATTTTTGCTACCCTAGAGTCAGCCAGTCCTCTAGCTGCAGCCAGAGTGCTCTTTGAAAAGGGTTAACCATTGTTGAATATAGTTACTGTGTTGCATGTTTGAAAGCTGTTAAGAGAGTAGGTCTTAAAAGTTCTCATCACAAGAAAAAAATTCCAAAGAGCCTGACAAAGCCTCCAATGCGGGCAGAGCGAGGCCCTCAGGGTGTGCGGACTATCCCTGACTTTCCTTACTAACCCCGCTCCTCCAGCACACAGGAGACGCTTCAGGAACAAGTGTTCCTCCACAAACTGAACAGAGCGATCTTGACTGCTGCAATTCAAAGGAAAAATCCCCAAAATATTTTGTAGATGTTCCTAACAGCAAAGAACACAAAGTGAACTCTGGAAAAACCCCAAAGGCACAATAACCAGGAAACAATCGTGTTTACCAATAAGAATGGTTTTAAAATTACGAGCCTAGACTCTAGTCTAGATAAGGTCAGTGAACTGAGCACAGGCCTTTGTTTTCTCCCTCCTCCCACCCTCCGGGTCCTAACTTAACAACCTAGAGAATGGGAGAGAAAGAGCAGTGCAGGGGGAGAAGAGAGAGAGAGAAAGAGAAAGAGAGAAAGCGAAGGAAGAGAGGGAAGAGCGGGAGAGAGAAGAAAGAGAGAGAGACAGACAGACAGACAGACAGTGGCTGGAACTGCGCCAAGTGGAAACTAGGAAAGGATGGCATCCAAAACTTTCAAAAATTTTCTACTGGATGTAATTGGGATGCAACTGAGAAAAGAACTGAAGTATCTTTAACCCATGAGGTTACTTACATTATCAAGGTTACCTAAGAAATACCAAAGGTCCTGAGCTCCTCACACCTGCTCTGTCTAGGGACCGTGGGAGAGTGGGAAGGGCCGACCGTGGGGCCGAGCAAGACCACCAGAGTGTCTCACGGTCAAAGAGAGAATGTCAAGCCCCGGCAGATACACCGCAGGAGGGTCACCAGCAGAGGGCACCCTGCCCACACGGCTTCATTTCACCAAGATGGGTAGAGATGTAACAGAAAGATCAGAGCAACATGAACGCAGCTGGGTCAGCTGCCCTGGGCAGGTCCACCAGGCACAAAGCAGGCAAGGCCGCACATTCTGAAAGGGTGGTCTCTGCACAGGTGGGGAGAGCACCCAAAGCAAAAAGGAAGCCAGGCGATGCTGGATCCATCAGAGAGGAGCCAGGCCAAGTGTCCCTGACCAACTGTCCAGGACCCGGCTTGCTTTCTTCTGACTCCTTCCCACAATGACAGATCACTCTATTGAGCTGTCAGCCGATTACTCAACTCAACCAAGAAGACAATTCTAACATCAGGTAGAAACAAAGGGGATCCAGTAATTTACTTGTTCTGAT